TATCAGAGACACGAAGGTAACAGTAACACCACACACATAACCCAATATAGAAAACAGATGAGTAGATGAGCTGATCAGTGCAAAGCTAGCAATTATTAAAATATATATAACAATAATACAGACGTTTTGTTTTGATCGACATAATTTTTTCATAACAATTAGGAACTACCTGAGGAAGGGATGTCCTAGAAATAACAGCTGTATCAATTTCAAAGATTTAGCATTTCCTTAGTCTGGACCGTGTGGGCGAAATCGTGGATCATAATCACGAAGCTACTTACATTGTAGAAGAGGAACTGAGTCGTTTTATTACAGACAGGACATTTGGCATAAATAATTTAGCAAGATAGCAAACCACGTGACAGTGTTATACTAAGTACATGTTAATAACATAACATACAAACAATTAAATAAGGCTATTTACAGGGCAGAAGTGGTAGTGCATATTGTAATACGAAAGCATGCGCCAATTTATACAACATGTTCGTAACGTTTTAAAGGTTAGTTCTAAAGTTATTAAAACTCTGATGCACAGTAGAAATCATTTCGGTCAGTATCATGAGTAATACAATTTATATTGTATGGTGAACGTATACAAAAATAGTAAAATTACTTCAAGTAAAGAGAAGAATTCTTATATGAATGTATATTATGAAATAATATACATTCATATAAGTAATATGCAGTATAAATCCTATATTGATAGAAAAATTATGTTATAAAAACTAATTAATATAATAAACAGATTTTTAAATTAATAAATTATAAAATGCAAACTTTATGGGCAATCAGGTAATCATGTTTGTGGAACCTGTTACGCTTTTTTAGTGTAGTTTTAAATAAAAACAAGTTTAATGGTTAATACTGTGATCTAGTTTTTTTAACTATAATAAGCGATTGCTGAGGAAGATCTTTTAGAGTTTTTGGAGGTCGATGAATAAAAATGTTCACTTTAACATTTTTATGTTTAGTATTTACTTAAATATTTGAATATTTTTACAAAAAATAATAGTTTTTATATGCAAAGCTATGCGTGTGCTTGCTACCGACGACTAATAATCTACTGCCTTACAAGCTAGACTCTGACGACCAACTGATAGCTGAAAATCTACCCAAACTTTACTAACTGGTACATTATCATCAAATCACGTATTATGGCTCACCGCTCAAAACCAACCTACCTTCCCAGATGGGTCCATCTTTACAGCCCAGCAGTAGTTTGAAATGCTGACGATTAAACTTTTGATTTTAGATGAAAATTGCATCGATAATAATGCTAAAATGAAGATATTTAAATTGTCTGAATGAAAGTCCACGTTCGTCCAGTATTCTATTAAAACAAAAGTACTTTGAGGTGTAGTGCAAGACTACCACGACTAAAAGATAATATAATGAAATAACAAATCTACTAAGCTCTAATGACTGGCATTTCACTTCTTTTCATTAAGTATCACAATATTCTCGTTGAAGCATATAATCGAAACAACTTGTAATATAAAATATACATAATGAATTTTATCGCAACACTCGGTTAAATTTAAGAACCAACAACAGTGTTAGCGTGCGATTCATACAGGAAACGAAAATGAACAGCCTTGAGAATTGTTAGTGCAATTTGAAAAACGTTTCACAGCAGCTTGTTCTTAGAATCAATTCTAATATCTTTAAAAAAGTAACTTTTGAATTTTAAAATGTTTTTTTTTTAAATCATATTATACTTAAGTACTTACATTCAAATAAGAAATATGCAGTAATATGTTAAAAATTTCATAGACTGTACCGACCAGAGTCATTCAAAATATAATTAGTTAGAAAGAGTTTTAAAGAAATCTGGATTTAGAAAAGACATAAGTTATTTAGAAATAAATAAATAACTGTGTTATAATAAGTAAATAGACAATGACTTATACAATTTAAAAGAAATGATCATTTGTCGACGCATATGAGATCATGCTATCACGCATTACTCATCGGTGTCTGTTAATTTCGCGAGCATATTTCTGGTGCTCGTATCAAATGTTGGTCTATTTAAAATGTATATTAATTTACAAAACAAGACACGAGTAATAACAGCGAGCGAGCCAATTTGAATAACTGGTCGTTGAGCGCGCATTGATTGCAACTGTTTGATTTCAGTTAATTAGAAACTCGACGGTTGTAAAGAATTGAATAAGTGCATAGAAAGTCTTTTACTGTTTTGGATCGAGCAACTTTCAGCTTTGAGTAATGGCGCAATTATAGTGTTGTATGTAATGCCTATTCAATTCAAGTAGGCACAATCGTTATTGCGTAGCGATTTTCCACCACCATGTCTCAATAATCTAGGCACAACCACCGATTATCACATGCAGACATATTACTTTAATTAGAATATAATGCACGAGTGGAATTATAAATATTGAAATATTAAAAAATTATACGTATATAGAAGAATTACTAACATCATAGGTCGCAAGATCTTGAAGAACCGCATTGAAAATAAATATTTTCTAGGTGGAAGGACTAATTTTCTGCCAGTCCTCAGTTAGTTTTCTCCAATCCACCTGGGTAGATGCCACTCTCTTACTTATTGCTACTGCTAAATTGCCAGTATAATTGAATAAAATTATACTTTTACAATGTGTTTTTACGTGGTACAGTCACGCTGCAACTATATTATAGTTGTAGCTAGAATGGGTCGGCTCAACCGGGGTAGGACCACGCTCTCACAGAATACCAACGTAAAATAGCAGCTTCATGCTGCTTTGTTTCGTATGGTGAGAGCAGAGAACCGGAGACTCTTCTTACTGGAAACGAGGCATTCCATCTTAGTCCTCACGGGTGACAACGCATCTGCATTTTAATTCGTAATCGAGAATAGATGTAGATGTCTATGGGCCGCAGCAACCACTTACCATCAGGTGGAATGTGTGCTCGTTTGTCACTCCATTCTATAAAAAAGGGTAGTAGTAGTAAATATAAGAAGTCATTAGCCAGTACTATTACAAGCTTTAAGACATTCTATCTTAGTCCTCAGAGGTGACAAATCTGTAGCCTTCTTCGTTAGAAGTTGGCTTCTGATGTCCGTGGACTGCAGTTTGGGGACTGTCAGTTCTTTGTCACTTCTATTTTATAAACAAAAAGTAATTATCAATATCTGATTTGTTACTTATTTTGCATTGACTTATATTGATTGCCTTAATATTAATATCCATAAAATTATCATGACATGATGAATAGCAACTTAATATAGCAGCTCAATGCTGCTGTGTGTCGTATGGTGAGTGTAGAGAAGCGGAGACCCTTTTTACTGGAAACGAGGCATTCCATCTTAGTTCTTAAGGGTGACAACGCATCTGCATTTTGATTTTTAATTGAGGATAAATGTATCAAAATTTATCTACTGGCCACAGCATCCATTTACCATGTCGTGGACTTTGTGCTCGTTTGTCAACATATTCTATAAATAAATGACAAAAAGCTTTTAAATAGCTTAACGACTTGAAAGAATTAATTTTAATTGGGAAGTTTGGTAGACTAACAAAATGTTTATTAAAAATAGCTATGGGATTGACGTTATACGTTTTTAGAATTTATTGAATGTGATAAAAATATTTTTTGTAAAACGGTAAACATTCGTAAGTACTAAAAATTTACAAAAAAAGATTAAATTATTGATAAAATCTGCCCGCAGCTCCATGGAATGTATTGATTGATTTGACATAAAGTATATCGTGTGTTCCAAATCATCATCAAGTAACAAACATCCAAATATTACGTTTACAAAGTTTAATAGATGTTATTATAGGTTGGTAAATAAGTTGGAGCAACAAAGTAGGTTAAAACTCACAATGATATCCGATGTTGATAGAACGTAAACACTGCATTAAAAACATTCACCATAAAAAACTTCAAATTATTTATTCTTAACTGAACCTAACACAATAGATATGAAGAGTCTGCAGACTTCATCAGCCAGCATTATCTGCCAGTCAACATGGAGCAGCATATTCCACGAAAGTAACCTACACCAATACGAACTATGTTCAAGTAATACGAGACCATAAAGATATACAGACTGTCCTGGCACGATACTATAACGGTCTGGCCACGTGCTCCCGATACTGAGAACTGAGAATATTACATCCGTTACAACACTGTCCACAGCCGGCCCTCTTATGTATTCTCGTCTACAAAGTCCGTTATGTACAGTACAGACAGTCTTAAGAGGATAGAGTAAGTCAGCTCAAATTCTAATTTCGTCCCCACTTGCCCGCGCGTCGTATGCTATGTACCGACATGTTTGTAATCACTAATACTCTAAGTAGAAAGGTCGTTAGACACTTATTTCATTAGGTTTATCATATTTATGCCTGTTTCTTAACGCCAAGCCAGCCGCTTCTTATTTTTATCACGGTTATTTCCCATTTTAATTTTACGTCGTACTGTTGCGTAATGTATATTCTGATCGTAAGCGACACAACCTCCCCGTTCAAAGGCCGAAGTGACCGGTGACCGTGCTGCAGGAACAGTGTTGCCAAGTCTGAAATCTAGCGGACGGTAGAATTCTTCTAAAAATACGGTAGAATTTTCGAAATTATGTTGTAATATATATTTGAAATACGGTAGAATTACCTTGTTTATTTAGTAGCATGTTATGGGTCAGAGTTAAAAAAAAAAACATATTTTTAATCAGAATCGGACAGTATAATTGTTTCAATATTTTTATACATATCATTGTTATGTTTTGCGATCATAGCGTGAGTGGGATTAAAATCAACACAGTTTTTTCCGTGACGCTGTATGGCTTGCTGCGATAAGAGATTTCCCTTGATGGATTTCGTTAGGAGTTTATTCCGTTTTTTTGTTTTTATATCGTTAACTCTGCTGAAGACTCTTTCGCACTCAGCATTCGAGTGTGGCAGAGACAAAATGGCCAACATAAATTTTGGCAAGTGTTGGAAATAGGTATTCCCTTCTCGATGTTGGTCACGCAGTTCTGCGACCTGAAAAAAAAATGATTAGGCTGCTATAACAATAGAAACCAATATGAATTCACGTTGCTTCGAGTTTACATGGAAACTTACCTGGTGCCAAAATACGTCAGGGGGTTGACTTAAATCCAAATCTTTGTAGTATAACGGCAACTTCCGCCACTCATCATCTAGTTCTTGTTGATGTTGGATTGAAGTTGGGGCAATTCTGGGCAGTAATGGAAATAACGACGAAACTGACTCTTCCCTGTCATCAGAAATTACTTTCTCTAGATCAAATTTTGCTATTTCTGTCATAATTTTGTCATTAAAACAGTATCGTTTACGAAGGCCCACACAAGCTCTAATAATAAAATTTTTACACATCTTTCTGAGAGTTAACTTTCTTTCTTCATTTTCAACAGAATCTAGTTCTTTCTGGACACCTAAACCTAGATATATGTCTTTTAGGTCCTTGTGATTTATTTCTGTCATTGGATCTATAGTTTCAATAGGAGCGGAATTTACATAATTTCTGTGTAAAACCAATAGTAACAGTTCTTTATAAAAAGCTGTCATTTTCCCATGTAGTTTCGTAATTAAAATAGATTCGCTCTGAAAACAGCTATTTAATGTTGTAAATTTTGGCAACATCCAAGCCAAAAAATAGTAATAAGCCTTGATTATGGGATCATTCAGGCATGCATGAATATCGTGGCACTCCGATTCTTCCAGCCATTTGCTATTGAAATAAAGACGTAATACATCCCATTGTTCCAGAATCCTTTGCACTACTGCATTTAAAGACAACCATCTAGTCTGGGCTGGTCTTAGAATTTTGTGCACATCCGCCTCAGCAAAATACTGGAACTCTTTCAACTCACTCTGCCTTTTACTACTGGATTTAAAATAATTATAAATATTTCGCGCCATTTTTTCACAATTTAGTGGAAGCTCTTTACATGCGTCACTAGCGCAAAGATGCAGAGAATGGCAAATGCATTTGATCACAATTATGCCTGGACAACGTTGACGAAATCGACTTGAAACTGAATTGTTACATCCCATCATTGTGTTGCATCCATCAGAGCCGAAACCTATGATGTTTTCCGTAGGAATCTCATACTTTTGAAATGAACCTATAACAGTATTAAAAAGTTTTTCGGCATTTGCAACATGATCGGTGGTTTTCTCATCAAATAATTGAATCAAATTCCAAAACCGAGTGATAACTTTACCAATCATTGGATCAAAATACCTGACCACTACAGCTACTGTTTTTACTACAGCAATATCTGTGCTTTCGTCTATCAAAATTGAAAACATTTGTGATTTCAAGTCACTGATCAAGTTTTCTTTTTCAGTTTCCCCAATACAGTTATTTATCACAGCTTGAACTTTAGTTCTTTTTAATCTAATATCTTTGGCTATCTGAGAATCTGGGAACAACTTTGGTAACAAATCTGCTAAGTGATTCATGACATTATGAGATACCTTATGCTCAGCAACAAAAGCAGCTAATTTTATTTCTGAAGTCTTTACCAATTGCTTTTCATTAGTTGGCATGGATTTAAAAACGCTTACTATAGACTGTTGTTTTTTGGACGTTGAAGCACTACACCTCTTTAAATTATTCACGTGTTTAGTTCCTTCTTTGTGGCGTTTTATTACACTTATTTCGGCACTGAAAGATGTATTGCAAACATTGCAGACCGCCTTCGATAAGTCCCTATTATCCTTTCTTAGCCAGTCACTATATTCTTTATTCAGCAACCATTCTTCCCGAAACTTCTGCTTATAACGCTTTCTCTTAGCCGGTACTCGTGTTAAGCTATCTTCTCGATCAGTAGCGCTGTCGCCATCACTCTCCATATTTTTAAACACTCAGATCACACACAACACAACACAACACAACAAACTCTTACGTAATTTTAAGTATTAATGAAATGTTAGTCGTATCTCGTTTATGATACAAATAAACTAGGAAAATTAAAAAGCTCTAAGTATTCATTGAAATTCAAATACATACAGCACCCCCGAATTCGTTCGCATAATATCTCCAAGCTGGTACCACGCTATTGGGGGATTTCCCGACGCATAAAACAGTGTTGTCGGTAGAATAAAAGGAAAATACTGTAACGTAAAGAAAGTAAACAATCAAACTCGCTAAAATTATTTTAGTTTGTAGATAATCATATTTAGATACGATCTTCATTGGGTATTACGGTGTATTTTGCTACCGTAATTATAATCCTACGGTAGGTGGTAGATCTATGCTGATTACGGTGTTTTTACCGTAATTACGGTGCAGTTGGCAACACTGTGCAGGAATCACGCTTCAAAAGGCCGATAGTTTAGGTAATTTCTTTTTATAGTGAAAATAATGGTATTTTAAAAAAAGTAAATAACATAAGCACTGCTTTATAGTTAGTTCAGTTAGTATGCAAAGTTTCATGATCTTATTTAAAGTATTTTTTTATGAATAACAGCGGTTTATTGTTTATTTTAGAGGTAAGTTTGGATTTTTTTTCTATCGAGAAAATTTTACGAAATCGTGTTTTCGTCTAACATAATCCTTAACATTAATCATCAACTTTACCGTATATTTATTTCAAAATTAATGCTGCAATATTTTCGGCATAACGAAGGATCTTGCTAAGCCATTTGACATTATATTTCCCCTTAATAAATATTGCAATAAATGTTTCTGTTTCGCGATTGAAGTATTGACCGCAGGGAAATCATTTCTTATGCATTCACGGTAATTAGAACGAATACACATACTGTGAAAAATGGAAAGTAACAAATGCGTTCAAACCAATAAAAGAGACAAAAATGCCCAAATCAATATTTATCGGTGTCTTTTCATGGAACAACGTTATGGATATTCCAAGACAGCTCCGCATAAGAAATTAAAAACCTGCATTGTGATTAATGATTATTAATAAAATAATCCAGCAAAATTCAAATGTATCCCCCCATTCTACATACAAATATAATGCTATAAAAACGTCTCAAGATTTGTTATGTTCTTGACTTAATGTCGAAACTTGAAGCTAAACTTACTCCTCACCGTGTAATTAATTAATAAGGGCAACTGTGTTGTCTAACAAGTGATTGTGAATGGTATGACGCGCACAATGGCTATACAAAGGGAGTTCATTCATATCGAACAAAGCAAGTAAATGTTACCTACCTTTGCCTATTGTTTTAGTAAATCATTTATACGTTAAAAGTTATAGCCTATATGCGTCTCACTGCTCCCAGCCCAGCAGATCTCCTCTCATTCCTGAGAGGGTTTTAGGGAAAGGAAATGTCCATCGCGATGTCCCAATATTTGAAACGCATGTGAAGTTGGCGAATTTCACATGTCTTTGAAATATTTTTTTCTTATTTATCAGACATGGAGGTTTCCTCACGGTATTTTCATTAACCGCCGAGCACGTGGTAAATTAGCACGTAAAATTGCAATTAACCATTTCATTGGTGCCGGCGGGAGTTAACCCAGGTTGCTCGCGTACTGTGAAATTTACAGCTTAGCCCCTGAGCGCTCAGCAATATTTACGCACTATTTTATTTTTAATTATACTATTCTAGTTGAAATAAATTTCATACTTTTGAATTTATTATGCGATTTTACAGTGCGCAAAATTTTGACATAATATTATACCGGTGCGCTTTTCGATTTTACAGTGCGCAAAATTTTGACATAATAGTATACCGGTGCGCTTTTCGCCATCATTCAGTTGGCAGTCACATTCGTCAATTATTGCAAGTGATATTTGTATTTGGAGAAAGATTTGCATAATCCTCCTTACACGATTTTTGTTTATATAAAACTGAATTGACAAACGACCCCGATAGTAAGTGCAGCGCATGAAAACTTGCAACCAACTTCGAACAAAGAAAACTACGGAAGCGTTGTTACTTTTGAGGTTTGAGATGGAATGCCTCACCGACTATTATTGTACTCGCTCTCTGAATCCTTCAGACCGGAACAAAGAAACGTAGTCGAAGAAACAGTGTAGATGTTTGACGACCGAAACAGGCAGGAGGGTGATTCCTACCCTAACGAACACCTAGAGCAAGCCTTTATGAATAATGAATGAGTACAGTAATCAATGCAGTTAGGATCACTTATTTAATAGGCAGTCGTTTATGGATACATTTTAATCTTTTTTTTATAGTATAAGGTGACAAACGAGCACACAGTTCACCTGATGGTAAGTGGTTGCTGTGGCCCATAGACATCTATATCTATCCTTGATTACGAATCCAAATGCAGATGCGTTGTCACCCGTGAGGACTAAGATGGAATGCCTCGTTTCCAGTAAAAAGGGTCTCCAGTTCTCTACACTCACCATACGAAACACAGCAGCATTAAGTTACTATTTGACGCTAGTATTCTGTGAGAGCGTGGTCCTACCCCGGTCGAGCCGACCCATTCGTGCTACAACTATACTAATAATATAACTTGGTAGCAGCATGGCTCTACCACGAATAAAATCTCGTAAATCTCACGTTATTTTCACTCAACTAGGTTTAAAGTACATGTACATATTGACTTATTTTACAAATCAATCTCTATAACTAATTGCTAGATAACGTATCGAGACACCTTAACTAATATCTAATAACGGTTATGGTGATTAAAGCCGAAACGTAAACATAGTGTTTTTAGTATATTATCGCCTGTAACTCTATTAGCGTTTGATTTGGGAATAGTGGCGTGCGGAGATAATGCGGTGTCGTATAAATATTGATGGGCGGTCAATAAACCCTTGCTGTACAGTACAGTATACGCCACTGCTTTGTAGATACCAAGGGAAATTAAGGTCAAATGCATTTCTTTGAGAAATTGTCCATGTCTATGTAGTGAAGTCTACACATAAACAGCAAGCTAAGCTAGCTAAGTCGGTTCTACCTGATCGATGTTTCCATTGCTTTGAGGACAGTTCATTGCTTGCGTGAAGGTTAACGGGATAATGTGAAAAACGTGAAAATGAAATGAAATGGACAATATTTCATGCATATATTGATTTGTTTATTTTGATAATGTTAATGCAGAGGTTTTATCAAAAACAGATACAGGGTAACAACCTCATTTACACAAATAATGATGATTGTGGGGCACGCATGATCAATTTCAACTACGTGGATAGCAGCAAGCCAGAGGTTGGTTTTGACATAATTACTGATTCCAGGTAGAATATTTTAACTTCCCAGCAAGTAAGAAGGAGGAAGAAGACGATAGTTTCGCGTTGGGCACCCAACGCGAAACTATCCTCTTCTTCCTCCTGCACAACCACACCAACGCTGAGAAGAAGAGAACGAAGAGTGGAATGGTGCCATAACATGATTACTAAATATGAAGGCTTGTTTGCGACATTTCACAGGTGTCGAATTTTGGATTTATCAATATGATCCAGATATGAAGCACCAGTTGATGGTTTGTTTTAAAAATGAACTACCCAAAATTAAGCGATTAAGAAGCGCAGGAAAGATTTTGATCGCGAGTTTCATTTTTTTCAATTTGACGTTATCTGGGATCAATTCCTATACCAAATACCAGCTAATAATACTCATACTAATAATAATACAATACTAATACTCACAGAATATCAGCGTAAAACAGCAGCTTAATACCGCTGTGTTTCGTATGGTGAGTGTAGAGATCCGGAGACCCTTTTTTACTGGCTACGAGGCATTCCGTTTTAGTCCTCAGGGGTGACAACGCACCTGCGTTGTGATTCTTAATCGAGGATAAATGTAAATGTCTATACCACAGCAATCACTTATTATCAGGTAGACTGTGTGCTCGTTTGTCACCCTTACTTTATAAAAAAAAAACGAAATCGAAGTAGCATTTATGCAAAAGTAAAGTGTCCATTTTTGGGAGTCTGTGAGCAATCAACAAGGGGCATCGCGGTATACTGCTTTATCATGACAACGCATCTATGCACTCAGCGCATAAAACGTCTTTTGAGTCACTCTCCTTACAGCTCTGATTTGGAACCAATTGAGTTCTTTTTATTTCCCTAAAATAAACAATATGCTGAAAGGGATACAGTTTTCATCATCGGAAGATGCACTTAGGTGACTGGAAATGAAACTGTATGAAAGAAAAAGGTAAGCCATAGAACCTTTTTAAGTTTGCAAGCTAACTTATATGTTCTTTAAGAGTGCAAGCGCTAAATGTGACAGCATCAACAAACAAGTCGCATTTAAGTGTGTTCATGTTAATTAAGTGTCGAAGTTTTGTCTAATAAAATAGATATCGAGGCTACTATGACGATTAAAAATGAGACTACGTTAATTCTGTGAGCCAATTTAAGCTGACTATCACCTATCAGTGGGTGTAAAAAGGAAAGTGACACAGGTAATCAAAGCGAGAGGAAACGAATCGAAAAAACGATACCGACCCACGTTGACTGAGAAAATAAATGTCAGAAGGTCAAATAGGAAATTTTAGAAAAAGATCAAACCGCAGGCGAACATACGAATATCAAAAACACAAAAAAAATCAGGAATGAGATGACACGTAAGCGAGACTATTCATCGTAATATTTTAAGAAGCTTTCCGAGAAAGAAACCCTGACCGGAGAATTTACACCAACAGAAGAAAGGTCACTTACTGATCGAACCCGTGATTCGAACAGCCGAGAAAAAAATTTTTGTTAAAATCTTGATGTTATCAAATATGATACTTATTACATAATTATCAACTTAATTTTCAACATCTGTTTGAACTCAAATTAGAGATTTAAGATAAGAAAATAAGTTTTAATACATATTTTAATAGTAAAGTTAAAAAAGTAGTTAATTAGTGGTAAATTAAATATTATTTATAATCTATAAATAATACTTATTTC